TAAGCACACAATGTAGCCCCATGTTTCAGTGCCAGGTAATGCACCATATTGTTCTGCTTATCAAGTTTTATCTGTTTACAGTTATGTGTTTTCCATTACGCTGACTCTCCTTATCCGATAACTGTTGGTCCTTTCCTGTCATCATAATGTATTGAGACAGGAGCATTGTTGTCTGAAGACATTTGTATAAACAAAGACGTCTCAAACAATTCACTTGGATTATTTGTGCTAATAAAATCGTAATAGATTTTTTGAGAGAAGTTCTCATGGTTTTGGTTGATCACATACAGATAATTATTCATGCTACAACAGGAGGCTATAATCATTTTAAATATAAAGTACATGGGGAGCGATGAGGAAATAGGAACTTTGCTTCCAGGTCAGCTTACAGGCAGTTGCCCATTTTGTTATGACAAATGTTTATTTTTATTTGCTATCTCTCACATTTTTACGACTGCCTTGCTAAGATATGCAATTGGTTTATGAGAATATGTACTTTCAGGAACGGGTGGAGGAGAAATGACTCTTGAGTTTTTATGCCCTAAGTCAAAAATGTACTTATTAACATAATTTTAACTATCTGCAAACTTTTAGTGATATTGTTTCGTTTTCTTCCATAGATAAAAATCAACACGGTTTCCTACTCTAAATGTGTGTGTATTTACGGGAAGACAGAAAGTTTGACAAATAAATAAATAGAAAAAGACAAACTCCAAAAAGAAAATTTCTAAGCTGAGATTTAAATCAGTTTTCCCCCTATAGCTCATGTTTCCTTGCCCATATGACATAATAAGTGTTTTCTGTAATATAACTTTGATTTTCAGAATTTAACATTGTACTTTATGCTGACATTAACAGGAACCAGATTTTTGTGACAAGAGTTTCCTGATGCTTGTGTGGATTCATTATATTTTTTGGGTGTATTTTTCAGTTTAGTCAAAGTCAGTAAAGTTTTCCTGGTCAATAATATTAAGAATTAAAACGACCTTTTCTTAATCAACAATTACTGACTCTTAACTTAGAGATTAATGACTTTGAGATCTTCTCTAGTTTTCCTAGTCTTATTCTAAATGGACATCTAAATCCATGATTTTTTTGACAATTATCTTTTGCTACTTTTCGTTTACATTTTTTCTTTATTACAGGCTGTGATGACATGACAAAACAAACATGACAAACCTGACAAAACAGTAAGGATGAAGCCCTCAAGCAAACAGCTGAGGTGACAAAAAAACATCTATTCAATGAAAAGCAATTGATGGACTAATTCATCACAAATAAACTTTATTTGCTGTTCTGAAACAACTACCAAAAGACACCATTATTTATTAAGTTAGATAGTGCATGTCAGTAGCTAAAAATGAAGCTTCATTATCAGCTTGGCTGCAGCTTGATGAGTTGCATATTTTTAATTACATGCCAGGACCATGACAACAAGTAGTCATGAAAGAATGAAAGATTCAACCTCCAAAATCATTACGAATTCAGGAAGACAATTTGGCAAGTCGACACAACATCAAATGTTGCCTAAAGTGACGGCAGGAAAACACATTTTCTGAACTAGCATCACAACTGCAAAACAGTAGAGTTTGCTGAATTTTAGCAGAACATGAAATGATATTTGATGAGATAAGATAGTCAGTAACACATTCTCTAAGATATTATGTAAAAAAGGACAATATATGGAAAAAGCACCTCATAGTCACTGTCACAGAGTGTGTGGTAGACTTTACACTACCAGTTCTTTGTGGGTGAAACTTTATTTCTCTGCTTGCAAGCATCGGCTATGTTCCCCCAATTGGAGCTTAAGCTACATTAACCAGCAGATGTCAGCAAAGCACAAAAAGGTGTTTTCTATGACACAAACTCAATACTTTCTTGCATGAAAACCTTGCTGTGTTTTCACAAATTATCTTTTAGATGTTTTTGGTTTGTTTGTTTGTTTTGTTTTTGGCATATGAGCAATTAATCAAGTGACAATAATACTGGAATAGAGAAATTTAAAAATATAATCACTGCAGAGGCCTATAATAATGTTTCCGTTTTTTAATCATTTAACATTAAATCTTCAGTGGGATTTACTTGTATTCTGTATGGCTGTAGAAACAAAAAGAGATCTGAGAAAAGGGAACCGGTGTAGACAAATTTTATTGTCATACACCACATATAATATAAAGAATGCTGACAGGCTGATGATTGATTCAGTAGAATATGTTTCTCCAATATGACAGCAAATGAAACATGATTTGGAGTTCTTGACTGTTATACAAAGATAAGTTTTGAATGACAACATGAAGAGCAAGATTTGCTTGAACAAGTCAGAATTAAGTTCTCTGCTCTATGAATACACTTTGCAAAGTGTTTAATGAATACAACAAATGACTTGTATGTTGAGTGTGTGACTGCTGCGCTGGCATGAATGGGATAAACTCTTTATTTGGTGGAGAAACGCACACAGGAATTAGAGAGTTTTATTTCACTTGGAGGTAGAGTTTTTTGGCGCTTGGACCATGACTGTGAATGAACTGGTCAGGATGAGGATTGGTTTTTTGTGGAGTGGAGACTGGAAAGGAGAGAAGCTTTAAGGAGCCTGGGAGGACCAAGTTGGAGATGAGGAGGAAAAATAATATTTTGGGTTTTATTCTTTTATTAAAAAAATATATGAGCATCCCTTCGCTAGGATTTCAGCTCAAGAGCTTCAAGCAAAGGACACAAACAATGTCACTAGTAGCAACAGCTTCTACAGACGGAAAAACTGAAAGCCTAACTACGAATGATGTGGCTTCCTGCAAAAGGGGAAACACCATGACAAATGCTTGAATGTATGTTTTTTTTCTTCTTTTTTTTAAATCTTTCTAACCAAGTATCACTCTCATTCTTGCTCTCAGTGTCTGCAAATATTGACAACACAGAGATAAAATGTTTTGACTAGAATAAGGACAGCTTTTATTTAAACGCTGGTTTAACGAAAAGTTTTTTGATTGTCATGATTTTCAGGATGTCCTCTGATTTGCTCTTTACTGTAAGTTATTAAATGTGATGTGAAATAGGTGTCTGTATTTGAGTCACCGATGCTGTAGGTGGGGGAGTCACATGTTTTATCCTAACTCCATAAATGTCAATTCCTGACAACAGTAATACCACAACTGTGAACCCACGCACACAAAGGCATCTGGTCCTTCACTATGCATACTCGTGCATATGCACATATGCAATGCTGACAGCAAGAATAGGAACTCATCAGCTGAATCATTTTGCGTTCTTGACTGTGATATAAAGACTGAATTTTACTCATCAGACAATCCGGAGGCTCACTGACAAGACATTTGAGGAAAAAGGATTTATGGCTGATGTAAAAAGAAAGCATTCCAGACTTTGATTTTGGTCAAAGTTTGTGAAAGGGATGTGGTTTAAGTGTTAGGGAAGTAAATGCAGAGATCGAAACTCAGGACCACAGAAGAAAAACATCACAATGTTTAAATCTCCTCTACCTTGCCTTTTGACATTAAGGACATCAGCAGAAAGAGGAATTTTGCCAAAATAATCAGCACATTCCATATTTGTGGCATAGTTAGGAACCTAGTTTGGCAATATTTGTATAATATTTAGGCTGTGAGCATCTGCATCAGAGAGCCCCAAATTCAGAACCTGTAGGATGGTTTTACCGTTCCATTTATTCCAAATGAATGGGAAGAAATATTTTTTCCACTGCAATTACAGTAATGAATTTTAACTGGCTTGGCTTTTCTGACTTAACTTTACTTCTGGTAACACTGCATTGCTAATGCGATTCCAGTTCCTCTACAAAGAAGTCAGACTGCAAGAAAGATAAACAAGCAAGAGAAAAATACTAAAAGTTCCAGAAGAAACTTTTTTACTTTAAGAAGAAAAGCGCTAAGAGAAAATAGCTTTGCTTTATTTTACATTTGAGGGACACGGCAGAGACAGCAATTTGAACGTAAACCTGCAAATCTATTTGCAACATACTAAAATACTTGAAGAATGGCATGTTAATTTATCTTTCTTGGTAATTAACTATTTTGAGGAATAACAGAGGTAAATGATTCTCAAAATAAAATAAAAAAAAATTGTAATGTATATTATATGATAATAATGATGACTGTCATGATTATCCATTCAGTAGACAAATTCAGAACTTTCTCAACATAAGTGTCCCATTACACTTTTTCTCAATATTTATCATAAATCTTGCTCTTATTGTCCAACCATGAGTTCATGACCTTAGATTCAAGCATGCTGGAGTCGTGCAGTGGCACTATGACGCAAAGTACGCTAGTCAGTCCACCTGCAAAGAGACAATGTGGATGAATAAAAAAAACAAAACAGCAAAGAAATGTGGGTTTAAATTCATCAATGGTAAGATAAAACAATTGTTAATTATAATGGCAAACACTTTAGATCAGCACACCCAGGTACTGAAGTGAGACAATAACTTCCCTTTTAATATAAATATATACTTATAAATGAGAGTAGGTTAGCTTGGGTAGTTTTTATTTATTTATTTTTTTTTTTCATATCAAGTTTCATAATTTGAAAACTGTATTTTCTATTAACTCAGGCACACTTTACCTGATAATAAATTGACTCGGTGAAAACTATTTGAAGTATAATTGTGAACCACTGCTCTAAATGAAGGACCTCATGCATGGGAATTGCTGCTCCTTGTGTGCAAAATCTGCACTCTGACCATAAAGGTAGTTTTCCTTCCCACTTGTGAGGCCACTAGTTTCAGGTCAAGAGGAACAGGTATCATTTCCCCGTAAGTTACGGGATGAGTGCTATTTTCCAGTCAACGTGGCCCACATCCACTGAGACAGAGCTTAAACCACAGATTGTTCTCCGATAATTTGCTATGCACCATTTGTCCACTTCTGTTGTGTGGGTAAATACCACACAGAAAGTTGTAGCTACAACTTCTGATACGCCGCATGTCGTCAGGGTTAGGTAAAAAAAACAAAATGACCTCCAAATTGCACCGTTTTAAAAATATTTATTATTACCCTTGAAGAAGTTAAACTATACAATATTTCACAAGGAACAGAGGAGTCAAAAGGCCAGAATAAACAAGGGATGTGCCGATCACACATAAAAACAAAACAAACAACAAAAAAATTACTCTTAGAACCAATCACAGTGGTAAGTTATCTTTTTCTGTAAGCATATGTCTTTTGTCTTCTGTTTTTATCTTGCATGCCAAGTATTGTAGACCATAAAGTAAATGCGCTGCATTAAGAGTGGACAACCAGAAACTGTCCTCAGGGCCAGTTAAAAAAAAAAAGAAGAAAGAATTACTGTTGGCTGCAAATAAGTATTCATTCACACTGGCTTATCTCACAGACGTATCAATGTTTGTCTTAGGGGCCATTCTTCCTGTGCACCTGTGCTAGTACTTCCTGTCTCAGTTTGCCCTCCGCTCCGCTCATCTCCCCCACCCTCAAACCGCATCCTTCACACTGTCACAATAATATTTGCTGAAGAAGAAAAAAAAAAAAAACTCTTACAACCCAGTTTCTGATACAACAAGCATGTAAAAACTTACAGGGTCTTCCCCATCTCAACCCCTCAGTGCCTAAATTAATCATTTACAGTACACATGGCTGCAGCAAGGTTAAGGCACAATAGAAATTCACAGCTTTACATTCACATTGATACTCTTCCTGCTTATGTGATTGTGTGGCAAGTGGGCATTTTTGGCATGCTTTTCACTCCTGAATATGCTGTATGGGTCTCTGGGGCGGATAGTCAATAGCTGGAGCGGTGTTTGGTTCCTGAATGTGATCGTAGGCTCTCAGGTAGTGCCCAGTGTTCTGCTGGTAATAGTAGATCAGTTTCTTGGCAAACATTGGTTCTATCTGAAATGAAATGAGACACAACATAGGAGCGATTAATCTAAAAATGGGACCTAAAAGTGCATATTCATATTGATTTAAACAGCAATATTTTTTCTTTTTACATTAATTTTATTTTTTCTTAAAAGTGCAGATACGAGTTGCTTCAATAGAGTCTTATCAGAGTATCTTATTAGACGTTGCAGTTTCTTTCAAAGACCTCATTGGTGAAATGTTTAAATCCATTACAACTATTATTCATGAAAATACTGCATCACTAACAAACAGTTCAGATAATAATATAGATGCATGTTTCAAGAAAGGGGAAAAATGGGTGAAATTTATGTGAAAACTTCAAAAACTCTCACTTTCTACAGAGCACAATAAAGCAGTCTCACTTCAGCATTTTGTAAGGACGCCACTACAAACTCTAAAAAAAATATCAATACCTGAAAGGAAAAGTAAATGTATCTGTTTTTATGTTTTGCTTGCAATCCATTTAGTTTCTTGCTTTCTCAAGTTATCTCGAAACTCTCATTTGTGACTTTTGACTGGTACTTTTTTAATCTGCTTTAAAATAATGAAATAAGATCACATCATGGTACATAAATTAATTCATTACAAGTACGACGACTGCTAGCTATTAATCAAATAAGTAGTTGATTATTGACAAATAAATATTAATTGCAATGTTAAAAGATCCCAACTTGGCTTGAAAAATTATTCTATCCGCACATCACTTTATTTAAAAAGATACTATTGACTCTGCTTTGTTCATTATATAATGTTTTTAGCATCTTCTCTGCTTTTAAAAACTGCTTTTGTAAAATATTTTTGTTCCACATTTACCTGCGCTGTGATGAGCTTCCTGGGGCGTTGCGGGTCTGGATATTCATCTCCAAAGCAAAGGACCACCTGGTGTCGTGGTATGTGGCGACCATTATGGACAAAATCTTGTAGATCTGAAAGGGGATCAAGAGAAGTTTAGTGCTAACTTGACATTTGACCCCACAAAGACACTAAAATGTCACACTGAACATTTAAAAAAAACATTCATCAACCCCATTTTAACTGTATGTCATGTCCTCAGTCACAAAGACATTTCTGGTAACTACTAGTAAGTTTGTTGGAAATTCAGAGCGAAATGGCATTAAAAAAAAAAAAACGGTCTCTTGTGTGGTGTGGACCACATGTGGGTGGGGACTCCACACACTTTGGCCCCCTGATGAGAAGATGAGCAACGTCTTTGTGCTACTTCAACACTAAGAGTGGGAATTACCCAACTCAAGTACCTGCAGCATCTCTTTCATCATTGTCATCTCATTCCCAATGACCTCAACTGTTGTTTTTGAATGGCTAGTGGAGCATTATTGCTTCAAAACTGTTTGCTACAAAGCAAACATATTTTATCAGTTTAAAGGGGAAATAATCTGTATTTAAAAGGTGGGAGAACTCCTACGGCATAGTTCTCCAATGCTTTTTATGATGAACTTGAACTACTAACAGTACAAATTAATGCTGTACAAAAGCAGTCTAAGATCTATGACAAATAAATGTTAAAATCTTCTGACCAATTTTAAAATGTACAGAACACCTGGAATAACCACACATACTGTGCACTTGAGTGGTCTTGATCTATAGTTGAGGAGGATTTTCTATCACATTTCTTTAACAATAAATTGTATTATCAGTACAGATCCAATACTTGATCATTAAAAAAATATATATTTTGTTTTATTCAATTTTTTGTTTAGTCATTAACACTGATTTGTGAATTGCAGAAAAAGAGCAGAAAAAACCCAACAAACATGAAGTGTGAACTAGTATTATGTCCATACAGAAACTACTTTCAGGAAGTTTGATGCTTCCACAAACTTTGGCTAATTCAAGTCTCAATTCTTGAGCTGCATCATGAGAAAACGTCAAAGACAGCACAACTGGGCAAGCATGAAATATGTTTTCAGCGAGATTGCTCCAAAAGACTTTTCAGACAAGAAATTGTCACATCTTAGCAGTGCTACATGTACTGAAATAATTTGAGGAAACTGAGCGTCCAGAGAAGAAAAGAAGAAGTGGCAGGCCTAAAATACTAGCAGATTAGCAGCATCTCAAAAGGCCCAGAATCTGTAAAATGAATTGCAATGATCTGATGCAAGGCCTCAGAGATGTGTCATCTATGAGTTGATGCAAAGCTGCAAACATCTGCAAGTTTCTGCTTACCAACAAGAAACTGATGGGTGTCAAACAGTTTGCATGGTTGCTCCTTCTCCAGCTTGTTGGGCTTGTCCACATACGGAGCCAGCGGTCCTTCCCAAAACACCCGTCCCTGACACAAGCGCTTGGCATACAGCCCATCAGCTGTCATCCACAGGAGCACCCCTTTCTCCAGGATGTTGGGAAGCAGCTCGGCTCCTTGCCTCTGAGACTCGGGGTACGGGGACGGAAAAAGAACAATTTCTGCGCCGCTGTGGAACCTGTCCTCTGAACATGGAGAAGAAGAGGAGGAAGAGGAGGGAGATGATGGGGAGGTGGAGGTAATCCGACAACCCTCTGGAGTGGTGACAGTGACTTCCTTCACCAGTGTTTCTCTGTAGTAAAGGGACACATGGAGGCTGAAATCTGTGAGAAGGAGGGAGAATTGTTTAATGAATGCACCAAAAGGAAAATGACAGAAGCTTGATCAAAACTCAACCCATAGCAACAACACTGAAATGTAGAGCTTTACTCGATTCACTCAGATCTTTTCAGATTGAAAATTGTGCACAGACACATTAAAAGAATCAGTGAGTCTTTCTGTAATGTACACTTGTATTTGTAGATGTTGTTTCACCTGATATGGCATTGCTGTGGTCCATTGTATACATTGGTGGCTGAGACTCGGAAAAGTATGTGTGGAATGAGAGCTGGAAACCTGGAATTGATAAATAAAGAGGGTAAATACACTGATTAACGGACCAAATGAAAATCCACAAAAATGTAAAAGGTTGTCGAACGTCGATTGTACAACTAATATTTTATAAATTATTTTAACATTTCAACATTTCTTTCTCCTTTGACTCGACAACATCATGCATCTCAATGTCTTTAGCTGCATGATGTTAAATTCACAATAAAAGTGATCTCAGTAAAATATGCAAGAAAAAATAAGGCAAACAGATCCAATTGAAATCCTGCTGCATGCAATTGAGTTCATTTCAATTGTATGCTTGCTTACCATTTTCTGTGTGCGGACTGGGCCAAATTCGACTGATTGGCGACTGATAGTGGCACTGACCATACTGCAGGTCTGTGTGTTGTCCATGGTGATTTGCATTAGGAAGAGAATGTTGTTCTGATGGTGCATGGAAATCTCTCCAGTCCCTTCTTTCTGGAGAGATAACAAAGCTGGGTACCTAAGGTGGAGGGGCACAGGGGCTGTCACTCAGAAAAACAAACGTTTCTTTCTTTTTAAAACTGCTCACCTGTGGGGTTTTAATTTCAGAATTGCAGCTAAATCTACTGACCTGGTTGTGAAGTGACGTATATGGTGGAACATATCCAAGCGGGTGAGATGGTGTCTCCTCCACACGGTTCATCTTCATACCTATTTACAACAAATATTTTGCCTTCAAATCTAAAAAAATTGCATTAAAAGTATGTCATTTAACAAAACTAAATATAGATTTCGCAATATGTGTGGGCCTTTGTTTGTTCCACAGAATAAAGAATAAAGATATTTTGTGCACATATACAGTGTGCTCTTTTTATTTAGGCAGAGAGTGCAACAAACTACAGAGTGAGAGAGTTCATCAAGTTAGTCAATTAACATAAAGTCCATGCAGCCAAAGCTGCTCATGTGTGACAATGGCTGTTGTATGATGGTAGAAACTTAGTTATGCAAGGCTGAGGTTGTCTTCTTGTGTTCTGTGCACTCTGAGCTTAGTAACCGTAGCCCTCTAAAAAAAGCACTACGGCCTTTTTGGTTCATGCTTTTGCTTCCTGTGCTTCCTGCCTCGCCAGAATCAGCAGTGGTGCAAAATGTATGTGAAAAATAACCAGTAGAGTGTAAACAGTGTCAGTTGCTGTGTAAAATGTTGGCATACTTTGAGTGTTTTTGCAACTGCACATACTTGTAGCAGACTTTATGATTTGCGTTCAAAACCTAACCACAAATCGTCTTACTCTTACCACTTTCTCTCATCTTCAATGCACATGTGATTGATCTACATGTTGACTGCTGCATGAACAGCTTTTAACACTCACCCTTTTTGGTTCCCTCCGGGATGATTCTGTAAACTTTGTACGGCTCTGAGATGTCCAGTTGGCTTCTTTCCACTATTTCATCAAAGTCGTTGCTCTTATTAAGGGCACAGCGTAGTCTGGTTTTCCATGTGGGGGGATCAGGTTTGTCAACTCCTTCCTTAAACTTTCCCTTGAACATCGCCCAAGCCTGTTAACAGCAGAATCACTAAATTCAAGAACTGATTAGATTTATTTCTGACTTCCTCTTTCTCCGGGACAAACTAAGTTGAGACTATGTTAATCGAGCAAAAGTTAGCTTTCGCTAAGGAAAATCTCAACATTTACTGAACATTTTTTGATGTTTCTATGTTTTACTTGTGAACTTTGTGCATTATATTTGCTTTTGCAGCATGAGGCAGCAGGCAAAGACAAAACTGCCTCACCTTAAAGAGTGCAGCATCCTCCTCTCTGTTGTAGTCCTGTTTTCCTGCATGTTTCCATGGAATCCTAAAGATGCTTTTTTCCTCATTTTCCCAAACCAGGCCAGGATATCTCCCGCTGTCGATCTGCTCTATGAGCCACTGCCTCAGCTTGCCGTTGCCGCAACTGCCCGACAGACCACCGTCGTCATCCAGGTTCATCTCTGCAAACAAATGAATTAAAATGAGATACAGAGCAGAAATGTGGCAACATTAAGATGGTTACAATTACACCTAATGCTTCCAGAAAAGTTTTGAAGGACAAATAGGATACAAGATATTGAGATGCCAGATTTAGTTTAGATGAGTTATGAACTTTCCAGATAATTATATGCAGTATTTTATTGTAGGAGCACTAGATGTTCATTCAGCAATAAATACAAACTGGTTTCTATTTTCTAGGCTACCTAATTTCTCTTTTGGAGTACATCACATCACTTTGGTTACATGCCATCTATACAATCAGTTCTCTGCATGCACATATAGTGTAAAGGGTGAAGACATGGATACTGAAATGAGTGATTTTCCTCATCACGTTTTGTGGTTTTGTCAACAACAAAAAAATCTGACTCATTTATGCCAAATGCGTGAATAATAACGTAATTCATCAAGCTATAAAAAGCTTAAACATAATAAATGAAGGAAGGAGCTTAAAAAGTATTAAAAGTGCTGCCCAGGCATCAACACTCTCATCTAACAAGAATGTTTCATGGAGGTGCAGCGTTTTCTTCCCTCAGTGCAGAAATGTCCTCCTGACAGAAGCCTTAATGTTGACCTGATGCAATAAAAGTTTGTATTCTGGTTATAATTTGAAATCATTTGAAAACGGTCTGCTGCAGCTCACCTTTAGAGATGTAGGGTCCACCGCGGAAATCTCTAATGCGGCTCTCGGGATCCTATAAATGTTATCACTGTCTTTTTGTTTTTTTGCTCACAGGGAGGAGTCTGTCGGAGAGGTTCAAGAGGAGATAAGGAGCAAACGCAACTTCTTTTTCTGTAAAACCTCTCAGCTCAACCCACGCAGCTCTCAGGTGGGGAATCCCTTTAGCGACGCCCTGATCGGGACGAAATGGAACAATCATATCTGTCCAGCCACATCCATGTCCAGCCACATCCATGTCCTCCGCGTTTATTTTATGAACCCGTTCAAATCCAAACTATTTCCAACCGCAAACTATCCTTTGTGGAAATACTTACAAAACATTTAACGTTAACATAATGTGTGTTCATGGAAGACATCCTCAAAACACATTAATAATAATAATAATAATAAAACATAAAATAAAAAAAAAAAACGCACACACGCCAGACTTTGTTCGTTAGTAATACCGCCACCCAGTGGTAACACAATGTCATTATACCAAATATATAAGATTTATGGTCAATTTTAAAAGCAAAACAAAACTTTTATTGCTGTTCTGCAGCTTATGAAAATACCTAAGACCAGACTCATAAAAGGGTGTGATCTTGATGGTTGTAATGCCACCATGCATGACCTCCCTTGCACATGAGACAAACAGGAAGAGAACCAGGAAACCAAGTAGCAAAAGGCGCAGTGTCTTATCACCTCCAACATTACAGACCATCGACCGACAACCTCTACCCAAGCAGTTGGCTTTGCTTCTTTTATTTATCAATTTCAGATCACAAACACATTTAAAAAAAAACATTTACAAGTAAAAAAAAATAATAATAATAATAAAACAAACTAAAGATTGTTCAGTTCAACGTTAGAAACATATGCAATGCATGTAAGGAGTCCATCACGGTCATTTAATGCGTAAGAAAGAGTCAGAAAACTGTGCATTTCATACTTCCACCCAGTTGCAAACCTCTTCAGGATGTCACAGTCAGTTTGGTTGAGCTGCAAAAGATCTCAGCTCAGTTCAAATACATTCAGGTGGAGCAGACATTGTTTTCCATTCCCTTCTCGTTGACATCAGGCACCCTGCCCAGAAGCTTAAGTATGTCCATAGTATCATTGAAGGGGTTGTCCTTGTATTTCATTTGAAACCATTTCCTGAACTTATGGGGGAGAGAAAGAAAGATTGAAGTAAGGAAAACAAAAACTTCAAAACATGCACAGAAATGCAGATCACCTTCAATTAGAATTAGGTCTGAAAAATCTGATTTTTCCCCCTCTATCTTTATTACTTGCATGAAAACAAAGAACTCTCATTCTTTCAATCTATAAACCCATTAACTAACAATTACATGCACTTTTTGAGTCAAGAGTGAGGTTAAAGATGTACTTTGACACATGAATGGCATTGATCGCCCATTTCCTTCACTTTCTTTTGAATCTGAAGCTACAATTTCAAAGTCTAAAAGAATCCAGATATTTTTTCTCTCTTTTATGTTACAAAAAAAAAAAAGCAGCAATTAATTTCTCATACAACCTACCTCTTCAGCTTGAGTATCTTCAAACTCTTGCAGCTGCTTCTGGAAACCCACATTGGGGTTGGCGCAGGGCCGGACCACTCTCACTGCGTTGAGCACGTCCTGCCAGCCCAGGCCTGTTATTGTCATGATGTAGGCTATCACCAGGGTGACGCTGCGAGACACTCCTGCCAAACTGAGGGAAAACCAAACTACATGACTTTCACTTTCCCCAATATTCCATATGCCTGCAAACAACCCATAAGAGCTACATTTTTTAAATTATGTGTTTGAAGTAAGTATAACAGATGATATATTTTTAAAATTATATGCACTGAGTTCATTATGTATTATTGTTATCTCCCAAAATTCTGCTAACGGCAACATATTTCAAATTCAGTCTGTTCTATTGCTGTTCCACCACCAACCTACAGAAAACTGTTAAAATGTTAATAATACAAATGTGTGTACTTAAGTTTCATTTAAATGGACACATTTTTTTAACACATGTATTTCTGAATATTATAACAGCAAATAGGACAATAATTCTGCAAAGAAAGAGCTGCATATAATTTCAACAGCATGTCAGCAGGGTAGAGGGGTGAGGAAACAAGAGATGTGAGCAATGAGAGACGCCACAGAGTAGGACTTTGACTTGACTGGTTGAAAACAGAATATATGAAGAACCTGCAGAGTGAAGTTTGTGCTGATACAGACAAGTGCCAAAAAGTGTATTGATAACATTCAGGAGGACTACCATAATGTGAATTGGAGAAGAAAAAAAAAGATTCATAATTGTACTGTTTTTTTAAACAAGTAAAAAACAAACAAAAAAAAACACGTGGCTTACATTTGTATGAAGCCCCGCCTGAATACATGCTGTGCATGACCACATTTTGTTGCATATCTCAATAACTGTTCCTATCTTGTGATGAAGTTGTTTTCAAGTTCTTCAGAGTTCGACATAACCAGTGAAAGCCTAACAAAACCAGTGAAACAAATTCTAATACATGAATGTGTTTTGTTTTAAGCCCGTCTGCTCCCCCCTGAACTGAGAAGAATCTGTAAATGGCAACTCTGCAGCTCTTCTAGAGTTACCATGGGAAGCTGAATTGAACAGTGCCATACGAACTGAACTTTATTCAGCTGTGTTTTAGACAGGTATCAAAATGGAAATGTTGCCTGTTTATTATTGTTAGCAAATTCATTATAATCATCAATATCATGGTTTTTCTAAAATGTATTGAATATAACAAAAGAAAAATAAAGAGTATGTTCACTTATTTGCAACAAAGAACTATATATAACATGATATATTATTTCATATCATACTCTTTAAAAAAAAGTAATTTCATAAATAACATGGACATAATGTACCTACCATCTAAACTCTTGTGTTTTTATAAGTAAAAAGTTAAAGTTAATGTAAGCAGTTTGTACTTTTAAAAGCACATATCTTTGATTATGACTCTTATCATGAAAGTCTACAGGAAGTTATGTCACTTTATTTATTGTACTGGTTGACCTATTTCATGTGATATGCCAGTTTTGTTTTGGTAGTCCTCCCGAGTGTTATCTACAACACTAGAAGCCTAAGAAACCTGACAAGTTATAAACAAATTAAAGAGATAAAGTATTCACAAGATCACAAAAATCCAGCTGAAATGTATCTACCTAATAGGTAAAGTAGTAAAATGTGAAGTATAAAAAGCAGGCATACGTTTGCAACGCACAGTAAGAATCCAGCAAAATGGTTAATGTGGCAATACACCTTTAAATGTAAACAAATTTCGAATATAAAACAAAAATGAAACTAATTCTCTGTCATTAGTATCATTGACAGAGTTTCTGAGTAAACAGTAGTACTCAGAAACAGTACTAGTAACAGTGTTTCTCTGTGAGTGAGAACAGTTGTGATGATAAAACATTCATATTTTTGGAACATGAATGAAAAATGCATTTTTAGAAGAGGCTCAATTAAGATGCACCCAACTAAAGCAGGCTTTGAGAGGAGTTTTAAAGGTTGGACTCAGCAGTGCTGCTCAATGCTCGTTTGTAACTGATGAACACCTATAGGCCGACATGGATATGGCCTTCTCAGTTAGCAACAGTTATATCCTCCTAGATTACACTGTGAAACACAGATGTCGCACTCACTGGACCAGCACAACCAGAAAACACAAAAAATGCTTCACTTTCTGCCAGCTTTCATTTGAAAGGCAACTGAAGCAAAGTAGATTTTGCAGAGTTGAAAATATTCAAAGTTTTTTGTCGGAAAAACAACTGAAGGAGACGTTGAAGACATTTTGTGACTTGATAAAAAAATTACATTTGATACCAGTCATATAGTATTGTACATAGTGACAGACATAGAAAATGAAACTCAGGAACTACTGGGTAATGTAGTGGAAGCAAGATCTAAATACTGACTAAATAAGCATGATAAAAGTTTGCTATGAATCAATACCTTTTAAAAAGGTTTCTTTGAAGTCAAATTTGTGTGTCAAGAAACTTTTGATTCAAGACGCCTTTATAAATAGCCAAATGGATTTCTGAGAAGACCGTCTGTCCAACCAAATATAGTTGTACCCTTTTAACACATAAGTGAGCTATCACAGCACATAAACACAATGTGGTAGGTCTTGCTACTGTACTCTGTTTTGGGAAGTTCAAGAATAGGCCTTCCTTTTTTCTTTTTAATCTTGCCAGTGCAGAAGTTACACATGGCTTCACTTGTGAGCAGTAATCAGATATGTAAAAGAACTGAACACACACTTAAGTCTGTGACTTCATGGAAAATAACATAGCTGTGCAAAATGTCGCTGGAATCCAAGGTATGATTAAAGGAATGATGAAAAGGTGATTTTGAACTCACCAGTGAACGAGGCAGCCTTCTCCTTTCAGCCGACACTCGTGCATAAACACTATGCTCTCTTTAAAGTGTTGAATTCTAAAGGGTGATAAAATATGTAAATAACACTTGTTATTATAGGTCATGGCAGTAATAAATATGGGAACATCACAAGTTGTACAATGAAAACTATACACACACGCTACCATTACAACTAATTATTAATTTACACATTTGATCAAATTTGCAGATTTGATCAAATCTGCTAATTTTTGTTTTAAAAATCTTGCAAAAGGAAAGAAATAACAAACTTCCTTTGTAAATCAGCGAGAAGCTCCACAGTTTTTCATGTTCAGAAGCCAATTCAAATCACTAAATGAGACAGTTATATGATAAATTATCCAATTTTGCAAGGAAATGTTTAATAATCTTTTAGAAGCCTTGTACATTATTTCAGCCTAGCAAAAAATAATTATTTCATTGCCATCATGATTTGCTCGTTAAAATTGGCATTTCACAAAAAACACTAAACAGCCGCTAGATTCTAAAGGTTAGTGTTGCCTACAAAATATGGCAACACAAGAAACTTTCATTCAGTGTACTTTTATTCAGTGTACTTTTATTGATAATTACAAAAGAAATCTAAATATATCCAGTTGGCCGTGGATGGACAGATGGATTTTAGATTGATTGTGCTCACACATCGTACTGACATATTCTTATGGTTGTCCCAATGAGCTTCTTTGCATCATCTAGGCACCATTGTCCTCAAAAGAGTAATCTTCTTTGTGTGACTTCTGTTCTTGAAGTTAGTCAATTTCCATTCCAAGTGGTTCTTAGCATACTTCTAACACCAGCATTAGCAATTGCATTGGGAAAAACACTATTAAAAAAACAAAACCCCTTACATGTAACCTTTATTTATGTCAAAGGAACAGTTTCTCATTAGCAACTGAATGTGGTTGTGTTACTCTGGGTGATGCGAGTTCACAGTCAAATATTAAACTTGTGAAATAATATTATTTACAAGTTAACTTATGGAAAGTGAACCCTAGACACCCACAGAGCAAAGCCCTATTTGAACGCCCTCTTTCTGGTTGGCTCGCCTTTCCATTGTTGCATGCTGAGCTCCGTGAATAGTACTTACATATTCTGTGAGGGCATGTCTGTTGCTGTAAGGCAGAGATAGGTCATCTCCTGGTGGACAAAGCACACTGGTTACCTGCTGGCTGCCCTTAAGAATTCGGAATAATTTAACGTTCAAATTGTCACAATTATGGTTTTGCATTCTTGCATCTGGATTTATTAAAAACATGGGCAAAATCTGGGTGACATTTTAATTTTTCTTTAATAGCTTAATTCTTCTTCCCCCCCCCCCCAATTTGTAAACGACACAAACCAAAACTAACACGAAATCAAGAAAAAATAAACAAAACAAATAAATTGCTGGTATCCCTATCAATCAATTTAAAATGACAGATATTATTTATACTAGTCTGTGTTTCAGGTTTTACACAACAGAAGACCAACTTATTAATAAGTGCTATAATAAATGTAACTGTATTTCAGAATGGCAAACTGTAAAGCAGCTTAGGGTCCATTTTGATGTTCCATGAGAGAACACTGCACAGTGGATATCGGCTACAACAGGAACAACTGCCTACTCTGACGCCTACACAAGCTGACAGCTGAGCACAACACCATGACTAACTACATCGGCTGCTGATGATTGGCACAGTGCAGGATACTCTGAAAAGCACCAGAGACAACTCCAGTGACTGGTGGAGCACTTCTTGCACAGCCTGGGTCAGTTGGCTTTCTCTAACTGGAACCGACTTCTCTTTAGCCACATTCATCTCCCTCCTCTGCAGGAAGAGCCGTGGTTTTAGTCGAAGCAGCTGAGAGCTGGGAGACAGGGGAGCATCTCACCGGTAGCATAGGAGCTGCGCACTCATGGACAGACAGGATGTGTGTTATGTTGTTGCTGGCTAACTGTTCTCTATCTCTCGCATCTGAGGAAAACAGACAGGAGCACAGTAAACGGCATCGAAAGGTGGGCAAAATGAAGGGACAGAAGAGAAAGAAAGGAAGAAAAAAAAGCTTCAACGCACCTTTAAAGTTTCCCAAGTACAAATCTGGAAGAACCTTAAGGAGGCGGGGGGAAAGACAGCTAAGATTTTCCAACGCCAAAGAGAACGTGATGAATAAATACATCATATCTGGTGAGGCAACTTTATTCTCATACACGTAACTCGGAACGAACAAAAGCAACTATTAATATTAGATATTAACGCCACTAAATACAAAAAAAAACTTATTTGCGTACTCTACCAGCTAAACTAGTACCTTACTGATGCCGTTCCCCATGCCGTGACTCCGAGTCGGAACTCCAACACTACAGCTCAGTGTCCCCCTTGTTTGCTAAAGATCTGTATCCCGCCTTTAATCGCTCCCAAATTCTCACTTCCAGCGGCAGCCTGAATACGAGTGAGGCTGAGGGGATTGAGCAAACTGCCGGAGCTTCTTCACGCAAGGAATCCTGGGAATTGTAGTATCACGGGTGAAACGGCTTCGCAAACACGTCTTGATAAAAGCAATAATGTCCACCAGCAAGAGAAGAGTGATAGCAATGCCTTTGGGACAATGCTGCAGGAGCTCATGACTGGCTTCTTCATGAACACACAATTTTGACGTGAACCCGAGAAATGTTTGAAAACAAAGTTTCGTGATTTTAATATTTTTGATTAGATTATGAAACAAAGCATATTCTGCACAGAGGGGTTTTGTGAATTTTACATTTACTGAGTGCCACACCAAAATGTATTCAAATTTACTGCTGTAACTTATCCCCAGTACTGTTACAAAAATATTTACAATTTAGCTAAAGTACTATTTTATTAATGTCTATATTCACATGTGGCATAACCCTAAAAATGAGGTTCAGAAATAAATCAGTTAGACATGGTATTGGTGAGATGCTCTGGAGTCAGTTTGCCTCATCAGTGTCTAGTTAACATGTTGTTGTCAATGGAAAAGAGTGGCCCAGAGGTGAATGTCCAGCTATCAGTTTTTGATCACAAGCTCACTTTGGTTAGACAGAAGATCAATGAGCCACAGCACAGCAGCAAGTCTTCTGCTAAAAGGTAAAAAAATAAAATTAAAATAAAAATTAATAGAAAAAAAAAACAGATATTCTGGAGGAGGTTAGTCAAAATTGGGACTTAATGTGATTGAGATGCTGTGGCATCACCATGTTTGAAAACCCTTAGAATAATTCTGAAATAAAGAATCCTCCACAGTGATGTAATAGATTCACCAACAAACTTTGCAACGAAAAAAATCATATCAAGATGTTACTGCCGCGGTTGACACAACCAGCTTTGTGGTTTAAGGGCCAATTACTTTTTAGATAGACAGAAGTTGGTTTTGATAGATATTTTAATGAAGAGAATTTGAAAACAACTTCTTGTATGTACAGTTAGGGCCAGAAATATTTGGACAGTGACACAGGTTTTGTTATTTTAGCTGTTGACAAAAATATGTTCAGAAATACAATTTGTATATAATATGGGCTGAAAGTGCACACTCCCAGCTGCAATATGAGAGTTTCCACATCCAAATCGGAGAAAGGGTTTAGGAATCATAGCTCTGTAATGCAGAGCCTCCTCTTTTTCAAGGGACCAAAAGTAATTGGACAATGGACTCCAAAGGCTGCAAGTAACTCAAAAGGCCTTTCCCTCGTTAACCTGTAATCAAGTAAGTAGTTAAAAGGTCTGGGGTTGTTTCCAGGTGTGTGGTTTTGCATTTGGAAGCTGTTGCTGTGACCAGACAACATGCGGTCAAAGGAACTCTCAATTGAGGTGAAGCAGAACATCCTGAGGCTTAAAAAAAGGAAAAAATCCATCAGAGAGATAGCAGACATGCTTGGAGTAGCAAAATTAACAGTCTGGTACATTCTGAGGAAAAAGGAATTGACTGGTGAGCTTGGGAACTCAAAAAGGCCTGGGCGTCCACGGAAGACAACGGTGGTGGATGATCGCCGCATACTTTCTTTGGTGAAGAAGAACCAGTTCACAACATCAACTGAGGTCCAGAACACTCTCAGAGAAGTAGGTGTATCTGTCTCTAAGTCAACAGTAAAGAGAAGACTCCATGAAAGCAAATACAAAGGGTTCACATGTAGATGCAAACCATTCATCAATTCCAAAAATAGACAGGCCAGAGTTAAATTTGCCCAAAATCACCTCAAGAAGCCAGCCCAGTTCTGGAAAAGTATTCTATGGACAGATGAGACAAAGATCAACCTGTACCAGAATGATGGGAAGAAAAAAGTTTGGAGAAGAAAGGGAACGGCACATGATCCAAGGCACACCACATCCTCTGTAAAACATGGTGGAGGCAACGTGATGGCATGGGCATGCATGGCTTTCAATGGCACTGGGTCACTTGTGTTTATTGATGACATAACAGCAGACAATAATAGCCGGATGAATTCTGAAGTGTACCGGGATATACTGTCAGCCCAGATTCAGCCAAATGCTGCAAAGTTGATTGGACGGCGCTTCACAGTACAGATGGATAATGACCCAAGCATACAGCCAAAGCTACCCAGGAGTTCATGAGAGCAAAAAGGTGGAATATTCTGCAATGGCCAAGTCAATCACCAGATCTTAACCCAATTGAGCATGCATTTCACTTGCTCAAATCCAGACTTCAGACAGAAAGACCCACTAACAAGCAAGACCTGAAGGCTGCGGCTGTAAAGGCCTGGCAAAGCATTAAGAAGGAGGAAACCCCAGCGTTTGGTGATGTCCATGGGTTCCAGACTTAAGGCAGTGATTGCCTCCAAAGGATTCGCAACAAAATATTGAGAAAAAAAACTTTTTTGTTTGGGTTATGTTTATATGTCCAATTACTTTTGAGCTCCTAAAATGTGGAGTGTTTGTAAACAAATGTGTACAATTCCTACATTTTCTATCACATATTTTTGTTCAACCCTTTAAATTAAATGTTACAATCTGCACTTGAATTCTGTTGTAGAGGTTTCATTTCAAATCCAATGCGGTGGCATGCAGAGCCCAACTCACAAATATTGTGTTACTGTCCAAATATTTCTGGCCCTAACTGTAGTCTTCATAGGTAGTCAGGTTACCTACATCTTATGTTTAAATGTATTTGTTGATTTGTGACATTGAGGTGCAACCAGAACAAAAATAAATAAATAAACTGTAAATAAGCAAATGCTTTTTCACCAAATGTGTCAGTTTTACCAGAAAGTTTCACCTGCTTTTGCTTTTTATCACAACCATTAACACACAAGAGCAACCCAATTCTCTCTGAGCAAAACAGACACAGACCAAAAACCAGTCACAATAGGAAACAACTGTGTGACTTTTACAGAGTGATGGCACATGACTTTGCTGCTCTGATTATTATCATCATTTGTAAAAACATCAACAGGAAGTTCTGCTACCCATTGCCCCACATTAGTCTCACAGATTGGTTCTACTTCCTGGTGATCGGATGCAGTGAGTTGACTAGGCTAATGTTTGAATCGCAGTAGGTGCATGTAGTAGACAAGAAGTGATGGATATCTTATGTGAACTTCTTATTGAATGGATGTATTGCATGTCCAACAACAAAAAAATAATAATAATAAAATTAACTTCTAAAGAACAGCAAAAAGTTTGCAAAAATCTAATACAACCTTATAGGAAAATCAAAACATCTGACCTCATATCACTGATCTCAAATAGTCTACAAACATTTAGAAGCATAGATTGTATTCCATTATTGCAATCAGCTAACCATTTTGCTGATGTAACTGTCAGTAACAAAGCGCAGGTACTTATCTGTAACAAATGGGTGGAAAAGTTTCTGAATAGCCTACAGATTACCAGCAATGCATGAGTAACAACAACAACCAAAAAGAAAGAAACAAAAAAACACACAAGCCACTAAACTGACACAACACAAGACAGGTAAATATGATACTGCTTTGTTGTGGCTTTAGTGTGCAAAAAGGAGGAATTTATAGTGTGGGTGTTTGAAGATAGGCAGCCCAAAATGTAGGCCTGCTTGTTAGTCTTCGCCCACACTCCCAGAGGTTACAACAAAGGTGGTTTCCCGCTCTAGTTTCACATAAATGCTTGTTTTATCAATGAACTTGATTTCTTTTATTTATTTTTTATTTATTTATTTGTCATTTGAACAATGGTAAAATTCCATTTGTGCTGCGATAGCTACATTGAATAGGCAAATGCAGCAATAGGCCTGTTGTTGCATTTGCTGCATATACAAGTCTGAAGTCAGCATAATCATTTAGGGTTTCAACATAGTTTGGCAATACAGCTGCATGCTAATATATTTGGATTATTGTCGAATCTTAATAAAGTAATTGAATACTGTTTTGTAAGATTCCAGTTGTAAAATGTTAAAATAATTAATTTCACCACTAGGTGGCAACAAAGTCACACACATACACCATTTATTCCTCAAAAGTTAAATGAGACCGAATTTTATCTTGCTTGTTTGAAGTTGGTTAGAATCGCCAAAAATATTTATTTTTCTAAATTCCTCAATATTATGCGAAAGAATACGTCAGAGATGTATTTATTATTATTATTATTATTATATTTTATTTTTTTATCATTTACATGGAGAATATTTATTGTCTATTTAAGCAATGAAGGAAAGCCTATGATTATGTAATGGCTTTGAACACTTCTGATAAATTAATTGACTCATCTTGTCATGAAGTGGTGTATTGGAGGTGATGAGGCAGGCGCTGGAGACCCAGATATGGTGAATGATGAAATATTTAATGAAAATAGTCCACAAAAACAACGTCAAAGTAGTCCGCGGCCAGGCAGCACGGCTGAGCGGAAGCCAGGGCTCACACCGGTATCTAGTCATACAGGCGGCAAACAAAGACAAAAGACCGACGACTTACGACAAGAAGACGACGAGGAACAAAGGACACAGGAGGGACTAAATACACAGAGGGTAATCACGGGAACAAGACACACCTGGGAACAATCAAGGGGGAAGACAGGACAACGAGGAGACTCAGGACACAGAAAACTCAAATACACACAACAGAAAAACACGGAACATGACACATCTAAGTTAATTGGAAGTATTTTAAGGACATACCTCCAATACACTTCTTTCTTGCTTGACACAATACAGTACAAAAAAATAAAAAATAAAAATAAATAAATAAAAATAAAATAAAATAAATCAGCCAAAATATTCCTCCAAAGTATTTTAACAAGCTTCCGGGTGAAAACCCAAAACATTAAATACTAAGGGAATGACTATAAATGTTTGAATTTGAAGACATTAATAAATAGATCTGACATATTATTTCTCATAATTGTGGGATTAGTTAACAGAATTTATGTTGGCAACTATAACTGACACAAGAAGTTTGGTGTGATTTAACCTCAAACATAACCCAGGGTATCTAAACTTCTGGTTTCAATTATCTTCAGCGGTTACTGGATGGGAGCTGAAGTGCATCTGTAC